CAGAGCCTCCTGACCCTCCAGGAGATCAATACACCCGCTCGGTTTGGTGTCATCTGCAAACTGACGGAGGGAGCACTCCATCCCCTCATCCAGGTCATTGATAAAGGTGTTAAACAGGACAGGCCCCAAAACCCATCCCTGGGGAGCACCACTGGTGACCGGCCATGTCATGTAGCAGACGTGTATATTTTAAATCTTTGCACTTTTTAGATACATGAGCTATTAGCATTTTCCAGATGTAATTGTTGACTTGATCACGTCTCTCAGTAAAAGGAGCCATAGAAGGCAGTGCTTTAGCTATCATAGTTCTCCTCTCTGGAATCCCAAAGAAAATATCCACTTGCCTTTCTGGTTTGAACTGGTAGAAGTATACTTCAGAGAGCACGCTTGTAACTATTTATAACCAAAATGGGTTGTCCATCAACATTTCTCCCTTACAGAAGATGCAATAATGAGAGGAAAAAACATATTCCTGCAGTAAGGAAGCACTGCCTGCTTCTAATGGACAAAGAATGCCTCCTTACTCCCTTTCCTTCCACAGAGACAAATACAACTTCTGACTCTTCCTTGTCATAGCTCCCTCCCATGAAAACGGCGCCATATGTCCTGACAGCATCAAAAGGCTGTTTCTGCTCCCTTAGCGTTCCTGCTCAACAAAAGTGGTATTTTTGGAGGACACTTGGCATCTTCAGTCCTTAAATGTACTTGTAATGGAGAAATGTCAGATGGCCCTTCATTTGGTCAGCCGGGGAGGTCGGTCCTTGGGATGCTGCTGCATGTTGTCACGTAACAGGAGTGCCAGGAGGAGTGGCGTGTGGTGGCGTGCCTTTGCTCCTCTCCACGCTGAGCGGCTGTCTCTGCTCCTCTGCACGTAGTGGCGTTTGCATGCCAGCCAGGATTTGTTGAGGGAGGCTGCAGAGGGGTATCTTTTTCACAGTAACAGAGGCAGACTGTGAGTTCACTGACGTCTCCCACCCAGTCTTTGTGCTGGGAAGCTGCTCAGCCTCGTGGTGGTTCCAAAGCCAGCCCTACCCTCCCTGCCAAGAGCTTCTCCATGGGCTTTGGCGCTTTCTTGGTTTCAACTGGTGTTTGCGTTTCTTCAGGGTATAGAAAAGCCACTTGATACATGGTGGGTGTATATTTTCCTAGATTTAAACAAGAATAGATGGGGGCTTACTTTGATGAGCCCTAGATGGCCAGCTCTAGTTCCTCAAGCTCGTTCTTGTAGTCTGGCCCTTGCTACAGCTCTGTAAGAGCTCTCCTATTTATTTACTTCTAATCTACAGCATCGTCCAGCTAAACTTACTGCTCTTTCTTCAGACAGCCTGCTTGTTCTCTGTAATTTGATTTTCAGATGAGCTCATCTTCCCCTGTTATCTAAACCAAGAGCAACAACCTGCAGGATGATAAATCCTGCAGCCTCGGTTGCAGTGATGTACCATGAGCGTAACGTGATGCTTCTGTCCAGCAGGACACGGCTGGAAATTGGCTGTAGCCCAGGCGCTGTGCAGAGTACACGTGGTACGGGGTAGCGTGGCTACTGGTTGACTCATTTTCTAAATTAAGATTAAAGGCTTAGTTAGGGAAATTTAGTGTCTGCCTCTGAACAACAAACACAGGCTTTATTTGGTGGGTTCCCTCTGCCAGCCCCGGTGCTGCCTTGTGCGGAGGGAGGGAGCACACAGCCAGCCAGGCCCCACAGGAAGATTTCTGGTTGTGACAGCTCCCTGGTGAATGAGGACTTGGCTCTGTGCAGTTTTCCAATATTGCATGCAACATCTTGAAAAAATTAACGTTTATCTGGACACAGCAATTGATGTGTAGGTAGCTGTCCATTTGTGGTCTGCCGCTAACAGCACACTCTTGCTTTATTCTTTCTTTAAGTAGAAGAGGTTGCCATCACCGTTTGCTGCCTTTTGCAATCCGAGACTATTTTAACTAAAAATATTCCCATTGCAAATGAGCATGACCCAGTCAGCCCTGAGGTATTGCTGAATTTTCCCAAAGATGAAGCTGCCACATGAAGGTGTCTTTCTACTGCTGGAATCCACCAGAACAGCCCAATTCTCAGTGTGTTCTGAGCACAGCTGTAACTGTTCTGGACTGGCCTTGCTGCTCAGAGGTACCCAGGCACTGTTGTGTGCTCATGAATCATTTTATAACATGTCAGCACCACCCACACACGCAGAAGGGGGCTGCACCTGTGCTTTCCCCGTGGCTGCCACACGGAGCCCATGCACATCAGGAGCAGTCACGTTGTTTCTCCAGCACACAGAAGACAAAGCCAAGTGCAGTCCCCTTCAGCCTTCTGTGCACCTGCTGTTGGCATGCGACCTCTTGCAGAAGAAAATGTAGTTTGGAGTAAGCCATCGCTTCTAACAGTGTGTAAAATCACCCACCGAACCCCCGAAGGCTACTCCAGAAAATCAGTGCATCTCGTTCGCTGTGGCTGGTTTATGGGGGTGCCTACAAACGCCATCCATGGAAATGCTCTTTCTTTTTCCGTCAGCAGGTGTAGCAACACTCATAGCATGTTTTCAAGTCTTCCTGTCACCTGAGTATTTATGCAGCAACCAGAGAATGACAAAAGCAGGGAGAGAGGCTGAATTCTGAGGGTGCCGTCAGCGGCCGCCTGCGCTTTTGTACTTTATGTGTAATGTAACAACGACAAATGCCAAAGTCATCAGTGGGTAAACAGCAAAGGAGCCTTTGGCTGGGGGCCATGCGTTTGCACTGCTCAGGACGTGTTCTCCATCAGTTTGAGTAGAAATTATGTGAGGAGAAAGCACAGTGCAATGGAACTCCCGACTGCAGTTAATTCTGGTGAATGAGGTGTAAGGTTTTCCCTCACAGGAGGCGTTGCAAGTTATATGACAGTCAAACAAACTGAACACTACTGTGCTGCTGGTCCACAGTGTGTTAAATATGTCCAAGTAACCACTTTCTCAATTTCTTCAGGAACCAGATTATAATTACAGAGCTGAAGTAAAAAAACTCATTCCTCACTTGGAGTACTTGGACGAAATACCAGCAAGCCAGACTGCTCTCCCTCCTTCCAAGAAGATGCATGAGGATTGGCTGATCATCAAGGAAGGTGGTTTAGCTGGAGACATTTCATGGTTAGGTATGTCAGGCTTCCTACCGAGGTTCATTTTTAAGGTTATGATGTGTGAAGAAGAAAGATGGAGAGCAAGCTGGCCTCTTCAAAGCCAACATTTAATTATAGCAAAGGGATGAAGGACGTTGTGTTCTTCACTTGAGAAGTAAGGAAGCTGGGATTCTGCACGGTGCAGCTTTAAATGAAAGCTGTTCTCAGCTAAGCATCAAGATCAGAAAAATGCAGACGAATTCTAGAACATGAAGCAAATGCTGGGAGTCTGTACTTAGCATTCATTCTGCATGATGGGAAAAAGCAAAGCTTGGGAAGGAATGTTTCAGCAACAGCTGTTCACAGCCCTTTCCATGGTAGCAGCCGATCACAGGTAGTAGGGATGCAGTAGGATTTCCTACACCAATTTAATAATAGGAAAGGCAATTTGGTCACCACCCCAGCAGCATCCTAGCAACTGAGATTGAGGGGTATTATGATAGACCTTTTCCATTTTCTTTGCTTCTGTGATTAAGTCCATTGCATTCATTAGTAGGGAGTAAATGGCTGGAAAAGAAATCTGTTGTCCCCTTGTGTGTAGCCTTGGTTATAGTTCAGATGTCCGTGCTTTTACATATCACACTACATGCACTTTACCACATACCATTAAATATTACAAAGTATTTCCTATAACTGCTCCTGTTGCTTCCCATTAGTGCGGGCAGTACAGTTAGCTTCCCAGCCCCCCCAGCTGTGGTTTGCCTGCCAACTGTACTCCATTAAAAATTTACTTTGTTTTGGAATAAGTACATGTGTTTGTCATTTACTTAATCCCTGTGGGTCCAAATCATTAGCTGTGATAGTAGTTATGGCAGGGAAAAAATCCATTAAAATCTGATCCCTCAGTGATGCTGCTTTGGCAATGCCAGCTATGATTCAGAAAATGAGTTAACAAAGTGAGCGGGCAGCAACAGTGGGGATGGAGCACAACATTGTGAATTTGTATTGTTGCCTTGTGTAACCAGTTATATTCTTGCCTTCAGCTCTAAACTGATGAGCTCATATAGTCAGGTTCAGACATCCCCATATTTTTCTTTCCTGTAGCACTGTTGACTCGGGTACTTTTTACTCACTGTGTATTTCATGGGTTTGCATTAACAACTGTGGCCAAGATATTTTAAAGATCCCTGACACTCAGCTCTTAAGGAAGTGCCCATATTATTACGGAGCTGATTGCCCTGTGGTGGAGCTGGTAGATGCTCAGCACTTTACAAAGAGTGCTGTTCATCTGGGCACCAAGATGCAGTGTGCTCTCCTGCGAGGTGTTGGCTCCATGTGCTCTCTTATAGCCGTGCTGTGCTCCTGGGACAGCCGGCAGTGGGCAGGTAAGGGGACAAGGCTCTGGCTGCTTTCGCTAGCTTTTGTGTAACCCAGCCTGCCCTGGAGTATTATCAGTTTTCACCTTTCTTTCTGTGGCAGAGAAGTATCTATCTCTGAGGCAGCAGTGGAGAAATCTCTCACTACCATTCCCAGATTTCCGTAACTCCTGGGACGTGGTTTGCCCTGATGGACTAACAGCTCTGGTAAGGTGGTCATCGCTGTCTGCCTTGTGCCTGGGTATTTCAGCAATATATTTTAGTATTTTTCATTTTTAATATGGTTCCCTGCCGGCAGGTGGGAAGCAATGAGGGGCAGCTCGCTCCTACCCTGGCACACAGGCGGGGGAAGCAACAGAGCTCTGCATGCACCCAGGTTCGCCCAGGGGCAATTGGAAATGGGTGATGATCACAGAGTGGTTCCTGGCTACGTCCTCTGCCAGCAGCCGCTCTTTGGTGCCCAGGAGGAGGGTGGAAAGGGGCTTTGGTTTAGTCGGGGTCCCCAGGTTCTGCTGTCTGCAGAGGACAGCTATGGGGTACCACGTAAGGACCCTCTGTCTCCAGGCTTGACCCATTCCAGCATGTTTCTTGTAGCTGCAGTGACAGATGTTTCTGTCCCCTGCAGCTGCCAGTGCAGCAGCAGTCACGATATCAGCAGTGTGCAGTGATGGTGTGAAGCCTTGTGTGGCTGTGCTCACCCTGGCAAAACGTCTTTCCTAGATCCATATCTGGGGGCAGTACCAAGGCAGTCTGGATGCAGCTCAAGACCCCTGACAACTTCCAGCCCTGGGACAGCACAGCGGTCTGCTAACGCAGGGACATCTACCAGTGCCTGCCTCCTTTCTGGTGGCCATCCTCATCCAGATCCCACTGTTTCTGATGGGCTGTTCACAGAAGATGACTCCAGCGATTTGACACATGGTAATGTATGTTTTTTAATCCTGTTCTTTCCCATACCCCCACCTCCTTCTGAACATGATTATTGCTGATAAAAGCCTGGGTGCTTTGAATACCACCCACCCGTGCTACTGCTACATCAGGCTCAGCGTATGTTTTCTTCCATAGGACTCACCTGCTCTTTATTTCCCCCCATAGGAGAAGGTGCAAGTCATCTGGGCTTCCCCCTCCTCAGCCCTTCACCGCCATGCATTGTGTGCTGCTGTCGCTCTTGACAGCCCCATACTGCAATGGTGCTCCCTTTTCCCACCTTGACAAAAGCTGTCCTGCTCAGTCCTTTAACTTCCACATCAGCCTACCTGGGGCTCCCTGAAGTCACGTCTGGCCACATCCTGTTCAGTCGTAGGAGTGTGGCCCAAGGTGGTCGTCCAGAAGGGTGTGGGGATGCACACTCACTCCCTGCTGGATCAGGTGCTCAAACCATGTGTACTGCAGCATCGCTGCTGTCAATGAACACCTTCTTTTGGGTTTCCAGGAGTGGGTCCCTCAGCAAGAGGAGTCAGTTCCTTGGCTTCACTTACCTGATCTACAGGCTAGCCCAAAACACGGGTGTACCACTGCCTGTGTGCCTTGGCCACCTGGAAGCACTGCCACATTAGCAGCTCCTGGGGACAGCTGGATGGAAAGGGAGTTCACTTCTGGTGCAGGATTTGGCACTTCCCAGGACATCCTTCCCTGGCTACTGGAAAGATCTTGTCAGTGCAGCTCCACTGGCTCGCAGTGTGCCGATTAGATAGGAGGGTGGTGTTTGTTTTCCCGGCATTGAGGGCTGCTTCTTCAGATGCCAGTCCCACCTCAGTTCCTTGCTGTAGGTAGGACTCAGATGATGAAGTAGGTGCAGGAGAGCAGACTTTGGCATCTTCAGGGATCTGCTTGGTAGAGTACCATGGGATAAAGCCCCAGAGGGAAGAGGGGCCCAGGAAGGCTGGTTGATATTCAAGGATCACCTCCTCCAAGCTCAGGGTCGACGCATCCCAACAAAGAGGAAGGCAGGCAAAAATGCCAGAAGGCTGCATGGGTGAACAAGGAACTCCTGGACAAAGTAAAGCACAAAAAGGAAGCCTGCAGGGGGTGGAAGCAAGGACAGGCAGCCTGGGAGGAAGACAGAGAAACTGTCTGAACATCCAGGGATCAGGTCAGGAGAGCTCAAGCCCTGATAGAATTAAATGTGTCCAGAGACATCAAGGGCAACAAGAAGAACTTCTCTAGGTACATTGGGGTTATGGGGACAGGCTGAGAGAGTTGGGGGTGTGCAGCCTGGAGAAGAGAAGTCTCCAGGGAGAACTTCCAGCACCTTCCAGTGCTGAAAGGGGGCTACAGGAGAGATGGGGGGTGGACTCTTGATCAAGGAGTGTAGTGACAGGACGAGGGGTAATGGCTTTAAGCTGACAGAGGGGAGATGGAGATGAGATGTGAGGAAGAAATGTTTTCCTGTGCGGGGGGTGAGGCAGTGGCCCAGGTTGCCCAGAGAAGCTGTGGATGCCCCATCCCTGGAGGGGTTCAAGGCCAGGCTGGATGAGGCTTTGAGCAACCTGGGCTGGTGGGAGGTGTCCCTGCCCATGGCAGGGGGTGGGACTGGATGATTTTAAGGTCCCTTCCAACCCAAACCATTCTGTGATTCTATGAGGCACTGCAGTGTCAACAGCTGAGTGCGCATTCAGAAAAGTTTGTGGAAACTGAATACAGTTTGCTACAGAATAACACCATAATTTCACCAGCACTTTTGGGTAGCTAGCACTAGTGAAAGCAGCACTTTACCCAATGTTCACTGCTTCTTCCCATGCCTTTGCTGCCTTGTCTCTTTTTTGGCAAGACCATCTGCATAGCCACATGGGGAACCTGATCGTGATCGAGATCCAGCTGAAAAATAACCCAGCAAAACAAACAAACAAAAAACCCCCAAAAAACAGATCTAGTTTTCATCTGGGTCTGTTCCCTGATCTGACTTACTGTGTGGCCACACAAATGTTTGCACCAGCACAGTGCAGGACCAGAAGGAGACAGATTCTGGTAGGAACAGATAAACTGCCTCTTAGCAGCAGCGTCAGGCCATGACAACTGACACTGGGAACCTGCACCATGAAATGTCACATCCTGCTGTCTATGGGAAGCGATGTTGCCTGATTTCAAAGACAGCACCATTTGTTAAACGCTGGAGTAAAATGTTTTCTTTTTTCTTTTTTTTTCTTAGGACTCTGTCAAGTGATATGTGGGAACCCCACCAAGGCCCTGCGTGCAAGGAGGCAAAAGCTGGGTGTATGTGTTTCTTGCGTTCTTCGTATTCCTGCCTGGGGACTCCCATAAACCCTGGGATAAGCTAAGTCCCACTGTGGCTTGTGGTGGCTCTCTCTCTTCTGTAGCCCAAAAGCCCCACAACACACAACTGGCCTTGAGAAGGATGGAGAGTCTCTTGCCCCAGTGTTACGAGCTGCCCATGTGGTAGCAGTAGTTAACCATCAGCTGTAAAGAAACGTGAAAATCATGTCAGATGCTGGCGGCACATTTCCTATCATCCTGGCTGAGCAAACACAAGGCAGGATTGCAACATTTGACAGTATTTCTGCAACAGCTATTAAGCAAAAGATATTTCTAGCAGTGTTTCTCTGATGTTGACATAAGTAGTCAGATCCCTGATACTGCAAGGATGTCCCTATGGACTGAACAAGCACAGCACCAAAGGTTGTTCCTCGTAGCAGTGGGTGGTAGCTCAGCCCCACAGCCCTCGTGTCAGCAGTAGCTTGGTGAGAGGATGCCCACGTGTGTACGGGGGAGCGGTGGGGCTTGTCATGGTCAGCTTTGGTGGGCCTGCGGGTCCGCACAGCGCGGA